CTCTAATTTGGATATGGATAATGGATTTTTGGATATTTGTAGTGGGCTTCGATTATCATCAAACAGTTTAAAGATTCTACAGTTAAGTAATTGTTCTTTTAATGTTATACATACTAGAGAGATTGGAACTTTGCTACAGCGTTGTACCTCAATAGAAACCATACATCTATCTGGGAATACAATGATGGACAATGGAATAGTGGAGATTTCTCTCGGACTTGTACATTTAAAACACACTCTGAAGGATATTGATTTATCATTCTGTAAATTAAGTAATGATCAATGCACAGAAATTGCAAAAGGGATAAAATCCTGTTCCACACTAGAAACAATAAATTTGAATGGGAATAGAAATATGGGAAATGGAATCAAAAATATATTTGAAGGACTTCAAACTTCATCAAAAACCTTAAAGAATCTTCAAATTGAACTGTGTGATTTGAATGAGCTACAAAGCAAAGACATTGGAAATTTGCTAAAACATTGTTCTACAATAGAAACAATAAATCTATGTGGGAATACTGAAATGAAAAAGGAAGTAATAAATATTTGTAATGCTCTTCAAATGTCATATAACACTTTGAAAAATTTAGATTTATCTCGTTGCAAATTGACTAAAGGAAAAAGATCACTGATTGAAAATTTGTTAAAGAGTTGGGGTGCGAACGTACCTGGGTGTGAACGTACCCGGGTGCGAACGTACCCTGGGCGGGTGCGAACGTACCCAGGTACGTTCGCACCCTATTTTTATATTTATTTTATTTTTGAATTTTTGAATAAAAGATTTAGCTATAAATCTAAAAGTATGTATTTAAAAGACTAAATATTATACTAAAAAACAATAAAGCTTGACAAATGATATTTATGCTGGAGAGTAGATATGGGATGTCTGCATTAATAGATCAATTGATGTCAATTTGTTCAACTTGAAATCATCCCATAAATCAAAAATTTTCTTTTGGATGTCAATATACTTTTTCTTTTGATGTTTGTAAATCCTTTTTTCTGACAGTAATTTCTCATAAACTGCAATCAACTCAGACTCTTTTTTTAGCTCATCAACCAGCATGTAAAAAGAACCTTTAGCAGGCAGCTTACTATTCATTCTTTGATGCCATCCTTCACAATCATTATTGGTCCTAATAGACAAACCAAAAACTGACCAGTTATTTGGTTTCCATAATTTATTTTTGATCCAGTTTGTTTGGAAGTATTGCAGCAGGTCCAAAAATCTATTTTTTTCACAAAGTTCTGCATTTATGCTGTCAAATGTTGGTTGAATAATATGTGCTGGCAAGAATGGCAGAGCCATCAATTTTCTGAAATCTTTCCAATCATTTCCTTTTTCTTTGTATTTCTTTACATAGCCAAGAGCCTATTCAATAATATAAGTTATTTAATAGATAATGTTATATATATTTGAATGTAACTGACTTGTATTTTCCTGTATACTGCTTGTGTGAAATGAAATACACAACCTTGAAATTCAGTGAGGGGATATACTTTTGATAATGCTTTCCATAGTCCTTTTTCAAAATCCATTGTAATTCTTTTTGGATGAAAATCATTGATAAGATTGTTGATATGCTACAAAAAAGCAACTTTATTTATCATCACTTTTGAAGAGATAATATGAAATATTTACTTGAAATGCTTGTAAGTATGCTTTGGTATGCTTTGAAGTCAGAAAAATAAAAACAAGAGGAACTTGCTTCATATCACCACTCTTCTTAACAAATGAGTGAATAGTGACAAGTTGATAAAATGGTTCTTTTACAATCTTGAAAGTACCATCAATGTACCAACAGTTGGATTTTGATAATAAATTCAGCTGATGGTTTGTTGCAAAGATTAAAATTCTTTCTCCATTTTCACAAATATCTTTCTGCAAAAATTCATCAGGCAAAAATGTTTCATCTAAATTAAAGTTGTACACTTTAGGTTCCACTGGCCTAAACTTTTGTCTATTTGAGTTTGCCATTCTCTTCAAATAGTTGATATCAGGAAGACAAGTTGCATTGGGTTCATAGGATAGAAGAACTTTTTCAGCAATGCTTCTTCCAGATGTTTGATTATCACTTCTGCAAACAATTTTCAAATCTGTTTTCACTTTAATATCCACTTCTAAATTCTTTTTTCTGTTGTGATTATGTTCCAAATTGCCTTTGAGAAATAAATTTCCATTTTGTCTTATTCTGGCCACACATCTTTTCTTCTTACTTCTCACACTGCACACCCAAATAGTACTTGATGGTGTTTTATGTTTAACAACAAAAGAATATCCATCATTCAGTAAAATGTCATGTCCCTTTCTACTTCCTCCTTTTACAATCTCAAAATCACTTTTTGTGGATGATTCACAATATTCTTCAGCATTCTCTTCAACTTCCTCCAAAGAGTCTAGGTCCATTGATTGTCATTCTGAAAGAACATGATTTTCATCCTCCAATATTGATTCCTCAACTGCAGCAATCTTATTTCTTTCATCAATAAAGCTTTCTTCAGAATTTACTTTGAATTGATGAATTTCCAGATTAGTTAACTTCTTGAGCATGACAGTACATTTTCTTTTGTTACAAGGTTTGCAAATTGGTATGTTATGTGTTTCTATAAGAATATGTTAAAAAATATAATTACATGAAAGCTGATTAAAGAGTTACATACCTGTGCATTTCCTATGAATAAGATTCTTACAAAGGCTGCATTTCAAATATTTTTGCCTTCCATAAATTGTTGAATGACAATTGTGACATTTGAAAGCCATTTTTTAATCTTCAATCAAATGTAGATGGTTATCTAAAAATATTTCCAGTTATCAATAAATTTCCTTTCCAAATATTCAAAATGGCTGAAATTTTATTTATGAAAAATATTCAGCTTTTTCACAATTGAATATAGTATATTACATCAAAATATCATGAATCAACAATCTCAATGATTAGATATAAATACTCACTTCTGTTGAAGCTTCCAAGAAGAACTTTGTCCAAATTTATTCAGTAAATATAGCTTTACTTTTGCAAGGATAAATATTCCAAGTGAAAGTTTATTTAATAAAACTATCACTATTAAAATGGCTGCTATTTCACTTTCAACAACATTTTCTTTTAAAGTAGTAATAATATTGTTGGGATATGTATTCTATTTAATATCTGCATTCTATCTAATCAATATATTAACAATTATATTATGAAGGAAAAGAAGGAAAACAGGGTGTCAATGTACATGTTTATTCAAAAATTCAAAAATATAAAAATTGGGTGCGAACATACCCAGGTACATTTGCACCCACCCAGGGTACGTTCACACTCAGGTACATTCGCACCCAACCCCAATTTAGTTAATTTCAACAAAATTATAGCAAGATGAATAATTCAATACATAGTTAATCAATCTCACTTGCTTTCTCTCTCTCTCTTCTCTCCTATAAATAAGTTTCCATTCAACCTCAAAGATGGATAAGGATTTACATAGGCCTAAAATGTTTATAAGTGTGGATTTTTTTATAAGAAAAAAAAAGGGATTTTTTACAAACATCTCTCCATTTTCTGTCAAATTATCTATCTGAAATATTAAATGTCCCAACTGGACAGAAATTATCTCTAGTTATTTCCATTTGCCCAACTAATCATACTACCTGCAACTCTTAACTGACCATTTATTTCACTATGTATTCTATTGCCCAAATCGACTAAAGCAGTGAACCTTAAGATATCATCATAATCATTGCTACTGTATGAAGCATATACAGTAGTAGGAATTGTTAAAAATAATCTAAGCCAATAGTACATGTATGTTTAAAAACTGGTAGATATGACCCTACAGAGGTATGTATGTATCGATACATATACTACCAGTTAATTTATTTCCTCCCTCCACAACTATTTCAAACATTACAAAGTAGGTGTTATTACTTAATGCCCTTTGCTTCTATTACAACTTCTATTTACAACACTGGCGCTGGATTTCAAAAATGGCCTTCTTTTGTGAAATACTCTAAATTGATCTAATAATATTGAAATGTGGACTTTTCGCTTATGCCCCTCCTCTTCAAGTACTTTTTCCTCCTGGGATAGTTCATTGGCCTTATAGTTTGGAACAACATGTCTGCTCACAATAAGGCTCCATTCACCATTGAATTTGATGCAGCCAAACACCATAGTGCTCCCTGCCCCAAAATTGTATGATGTTCAAGGTAAATGTTGGATTTTTCCTTACAAATCCTCTCCTCATGTAGCGTCCTTTGGATTCACCTGAAAAATTCACATTTTCCACCTTTCTGTTTCCCACTTACTGTTCTCTGTTTAGAACTCTATTTTGTGTGGGTGATACTCTTTAACTAATGCGGCATCTCCAAACAAATTCTAAACTAACCCTGCTATTAATTTTCGCATTCCGCCTAGTGTTACCTGAATTCCTCAGATGTTTACATTCAATGCTGAAATACACATAAATATATATATATATTTGTGTAATATCGCTATGCACTGGATAGTGGAGAATAGAACCTATTTGTGTTGTCCAGGCTTCAAAATTTCATTGCTTAATTGAAAATACATGTTTAATAGGATAGTAAGTTAGAGATTAAAAGAAAATAGAATAATGAAAGATGCATTGACTCTTTTCATATTGGAATAAATCCCAAGGCAGAAGCTGCCCAGAAATTGATTGAAGCCGCCCAGAGCTGTGATAGAAGTCACCCACAACTATGATAGAAGTTGCCCAGAGCTATAAAAGAAGTTGGCCACACCTGTAACAGAAGTGAACCTGTGTCAAATTTTCAAACTGCTCCGATTTACTTGAAATTTTGTACAGAGTAAGGTATAGAACACACCAATTACTGTACAAAATTTGAGCCAAATCGGCCCAGGCGTTTAGGAGCTACGGCCGTTTGAAATAAACGTAGGTCACAACAAGTTGTCATGTGTGTGTGACTGCCACCAACTTTTTCTGATATTCGTCCTCACCTTCTACACCAATTAGAGGGTAACCTATCAAGTTTATTCAAGTAGTAAGCAAGTTTCAATAAGATTTATATTGTATATCTTTATTGGATTGCTGCCAATTTTAATTTCAATCTTTTTTAGCAAAGCAGAAGATTCAACTACTCTTTGAACAACACACACTTGAATAACATCATAAGCTTTTTTAAAAGTGATCTTTATCCATGATGATTTACAGTCTAGATTTGATGAACATGTTGCTGCCCAGTCATTATGATTAATCCAGAAAGGCTCTTGTGCAAATTCACATTTCTGATCAATTGGTGTAGTATGTACACTTGAGGCTGTACAAGCTGCTCCATTACTTTTGCTAGCAATATTTATTAGTTTTCCATCTATGGGCAAAGAATAAAGCTTATTATACTTTAAATTTATTCATATAATATAATTTACCAGTTATCATTACACTATTTTCAACTAGCAGAAGAAATAGAGCGAAAATGATGAACATTTTCAACATATCTTTCAATATTTATAAATATAAATGTCGTTGGAATTAGATTTCTATATATATTTATAAGATATAGAGATATTGAATTATTGAATATATTTCCTCTTTATTTACCAATTTCTATCTTATGCTGACAAAAAAAGCAAAGTTTAGCTATTCTTAATTCTTTCTAGAAAATTGAAGTCTAAAGATTCATTTGGTTGGTGTAATCAATACATTTCTCCTCTGTATTAGGCTTAAAGATTGATTGATTAATATGAGACTTTTTTCTAGACCTCTTGTCAATCATGCTCCAGTAGATGGAAATTTAGGGGTTGGGTGCGGACGTACCCATTTGCAAGTATAGCCTACCCTGATAACATTTTAGGGGAGGGTTAGTTTGTTAATTTAGATGGATTTATATTTAGAGGGGTTCCAATTTACGATTAGGCAATATACATAACACAGATATTACGCTCAACTTCTGATATATTAGGGTATGCTTCTATCCTCCATGGGTACGTTCGCACCCCCACCCGAAAATTTAGAGGCTATGGAATGGGAAGAACAAAAATGAATTACACAAAGTTACAAAGGGTTTCACGGTAGCACTAACTCATTTTTATGCATTTTGAAATTGCTGTTCTAAAATCATCATTTCTTATAAATTGCAAGAACAAAGATATTTTTATACATGAAAATAGATATAAATCAATGCTTATATTCCTATAAATTGATATGCCTATATTCTTTCTTTATGAATATATGATGTTTGTCTGGTAAAAAATGTAATTTTTGTGATATTGTTCTACAAGAATTATTGAGGTTTATCAATCAATTTTTCAACAAATAGGAAAAGTTTGCTAGATAGTTTCTCTGTAGCAGAATGATCAGAACATGTATTCATTAATATTAATAACATAAAATGTAAATAGGTCGTTGATACACATAAATAGGTTCCGATGGGTGCAATTTCAAATAAGTTTGGCTACATCAAGTTACGATTTTCCCCTTTCCTTTAAAACTGTCGTTTGCCTATGTGCTTTTATTAATTGTTCGCAGTTCAATACAAAATGAAGGCCTATAACTTCAATATTGACAATGAATTGAATTTTTTAGAAAAAGCAGAAGTTAACATGGCAGGCAAGGGAATGGACTATTGGATTTCTCATTTAAATTTAAAACCACATCCGGAAGGTGGATATTATACTGAAAGTTTTAGGAGTAAAGATTTCATACCAAGTAAATGTACGGAAGGAAAATTTGATGGAAAAAGAAGTTATTTAACTTCAATTTATTTCCTGTTATCGGATGGTAATTTTTCTGCTTTTCATCGTTTAAAACAAGACGAAATTTGGAGTTATCATACTGGTTCAACAATTTTCGTTCATATTATTAACGATGATGGATCCTACGAGAAACATAAAGTTGGTTTGAATATTGAAGACGGTGAAACTCCCCAATTTGTTATCAAAGCAGGACAATGGTTTTCCTATCACGTTGAAGAGGAAAATGGTTTTACTCTTGTTGGGTGTGTCGTTGTTCCTGGATTTGAATTTGCCGATTTTGAACTTGGTAAGAGGCAAGATTTAATTGCCAAATATCCTCAACATAAGGATATTATAACAAAATATACAAGAAACTGACATAAAGCTTTGAAAATAGAGAAGATATCCATACTACACCAAGAACATCAGTATTTATGAACACAATGAGAACACTTTGAACAAAAATTCAAAATGCAAAATTTAATATCTCAACCATTACATTTTGACAGTAAATTTACAAAATAATCGTTTGAATTTTGTGAATTTCAACTATAATTCTTCATGAAAACTGTTACAATTTTTACTATAACTAAAAATATAAATATAGAATCAGTTTTTCATGTATTCAATTTTTTGAAAGTATGTCATTCTATTCAAAAAAAAGTAACATCTGTCGTTCAAACAAGTTAACTATTATTTACCATAATACTATTCCAACATAACCCAGTGTCCATGATATTTCTGGACACTGCCCTATAATTGAAACTACTTTTGATATGTTATGCAGATAATAAAAAATTTGTTTCTTTAGATAAAAAAAAATAGATATTTAACCCTAAAAGAAGATAATGGCTGAGAATTGTCTGACCCTGATTTGTTTAAAAGAAATTGGAAAGAATTTAATAGCATTAGGTGAATATTGCTCAAGTCAAAAACTATTTTTACCTGATAGAATATCTCATCTTATTATTAATTATGTTTTTACAAATAACAAATTATTAACAACAAAAGAATTAAAATTCTTTTTATCAAATATTTTAAATATTTCAAACTTCAATTTAATTTATGAACAATACGAAAAAGATGAAACATTTGAATTTCTACAAAATCAACCAATAACTGTTTTACAATTAAAAAATATTAATTGTTTTAATGAGTATTTCTTTTCAAATAATCTACAAGAATTATCTCTTTATAATTGTCAAATTAAGGATTTTAATGAAAACTTATTACATCAGTTTAAAGGCAATTTAAACATGTCCCATTTAAAAATTATCTTACCGGAAATGGATTTTCTCTTTCCAGCCAAATCTCCTAATTTTTATCATAAACTATTTTCAATTATGCAATCATCATCATTAATAAGTTTTGAATTTGAAACTGCTTGCGTTTACGCTTCTATTATCAATTTTTTTGAAAACTGGTTAGAACAGTGTATAAATCTGGAGAGATTGATTCTAATAGGAACGTTTAATTTTGCAAATTTTCGCCATATTTCTTCTGCATTTAAAGCAATGGGACATTCGCTAAAAGAATTAACATTACAAGTTTTAAATCTTGAATTTGATGAAATTCATATGTTTGAAAATTCACTTCAGTATCTTACAAATCTTGAAAAATTCAATCTAACAATAAAAATATACTCTGCTAGCTCATTTACATATAATTTAAATGAACTAAAATCATGTGGACATTCATTAAGAATATTTAAATTACATGTAAATAGAGTTAGTATTTTATATTTGTGTAAAGCTTTGGAATGTTGTACAAGTCTTGAAATCATTGAAATTCTGTCAAGAATTCCAATCGATACTCAAGTCATTACTACTGCATTAAAATCATCAATAAATACTGTAAAACAGTTAAATATTGGAGTTGTACCTAAAGAAGAACATTGGTTTTCTTCAATCGTTGATTTCTTGGAAGAGTGTTCCTCTGCTCGAAAATGTTCAATATTTATAAAATATTTTCACAAACAAAGAGCAAAAAATATCTTGAAAAGATTGATATCGCTATCGTCATCGCCTGATCATTTAAATAATATAATGATATCAATTAAACGATTTCGGGATGAGTAGCGTACTCTGTGAACCTTAACCAACTTAGCATCTTTATCAACAAAAGCACACTAAACTTGATACAATGATATTTTAGATAAGAGAAAAAAAGGGGCGAGGTTGTCAATGTCATTTTTAAAATGGCTACTGCAATATCTAATAAGGAATATTTAAAATATGATGTTGAGCATTGTAAATCATCAGTTACAATTCTAATATATCACGTAGAAGGTAGATGTGCTGGATATGCCATTTTTATTGATGAACAATGGAAATATACAGTAAATTATAGACCAACAAAATATGAAAAGGCAGTCGTTAGTCTTAATTTTGTTAGTAACACAGGAAATATGACAACCAAAGAAATTCAATGGAAATTTACTTCCAATGAAAAAACTTGGAGGAAAAAAGCTTGGAAAGTTGTAAAACAACTTTTAAAACCCACACCAAAAGCTTATGATATACTCTCTCTTAATGGAGCATTCAATATTGAAAATGGTAGAAATATACAAGAATCAGGTGGACATACTACTGAAGATAGAGAAACGAAAAATGGTAGGCAACGCTCCAAAAGTTTTTGTAATAGATTTGTTTCAATTTTAACGTCAATATGTCGCTGTTCCTGTACTTTTCGTCTAATTCAGTGTTGTAGGAGAAGACTTGATCAAAAAAGACTGGTTGAAGAATATAGAATGCATTAGATTTCTATTCTCTAAACATCTATCATTCAATATATATTGTGTAGCAGCAAGAATTTAATTGTTTGTAAACAAAACTATGGACACTAAATCTTTCATTTGGAATGGCTTTTGTTTGGTCACGTATAATCTATTGGCTTGCTTAAAAACGAATAACTGTAAAAAACTATTGAATGCCAGAAAACGAATTTTATTGAACATGAGAGAGAGAGAGAGCGAGAGAGAGAGAGAGAGCGAGAGAGAGAGAGAGGAAGAGAGAGAATGCTCTTGTTTTTCTCATTCGAATCTATTCAAATGACATATGTTCATGTTTGTAATGTGTACATCCATAGTTTTAAAGGAATATTTACAATAAAACTGATAAAAACGTTTAGAATTTTCTAAAGAGTATACTGTTTTCAGCTAAGTTATCGTACAATTATCCCTTTGCCCATAGCTTGGGTAAGCATAAACTGAGGTACAGTAGTGATTTTTTGAATCTTTGACAAACAACTACTTTACAGTAAAACCATAACCAAATAAACATTAAAACATTCAATATTTATCTTTACCCTCCTTATTTTGAAAACTTACCTGGAAGGAATTGAAGGTTGTAAAGATATAAACTAAAGTCATCTATAAGAATTTTGCAGAATGGCTCAATCTTTGGAAGTGTAATTTCTTTAAAAGTTTGACAAAATGTATAAGGTACACTCGCGATATTGTAGACATTTTGCTGTAATTTTAAAATGGTCTAACTAATACTATTGATACTTTCCAAATATATAACTTAATCTATAAACTTTCACTGTGAAAACTTTCATTCGGTTCTGTGGGTTATCAACATAAAAAGGAAGAAAAAATTTTGAAGATTTGCCAAGATGTGGTTGTCAAAAGATATCTCTAACAGATCAAAATAAGGAAACTATCTTTAGATCATACCAAAGACTTGAGTTTCAGTAATATATATGATAATAATTATCAAATTGTTGAAAAATGAAACATAAAAGGAAAAGATACTTTATTGCATAAGAATTTTTCATATTCAATTAAAAACATTGCCAGTACCTCAACAACATGAAGATGAACACAAAGGTCAAAGAAAAAATTTTTCCCAGCAGATGTTCCCAAAAGGGTTCAAAGTTTCTTACAAAAAAAGAACTTACCCACTCAAATGAAGGAAGGACTCTTAAATACCAAATTTTCTATCCATGATTTCATTAAGAAAAATGGTGAATATCAGTAAATTCCCTTAGTGTTTGTTTTAATGAGTGGCACAGAAAGAAAATAGCACTTTGAATGTTCTACTGGTATGTTGCCAATAATAGTTTATATTTTATTAAAAGTAACAAAATCAATATTTAAAAAGGAAGTTATATGGTTATATAAAAGACTTTAAAGATTATGAAGAGAGAGCCTTCCATATCTTCCAAAAGAATTCATTACTTCACCAAATTTAATATAGCAGTGGATATTGATGAAAATTTCTACAATCTTATCAAAGAAGTAGAAAGAGAAGCTGACCTAATAGAAATTTATGAGAAGTTGTTATCAGAGGGAAAATTGAAAAAACTATAGAAAAGAAAATATGAAAATCTACAAGGTAATATTTCTGAATATATATTAGTTGTTTGAATGGAGCTTATTAGTTATTAAGAGTTGTATATGACATCATTGGAGACGATTGACAATAAAAAGAATTAATACTGAAAATCTCTTTATTCAATAAAATTGAATATAATAAAAATATTAAGGATCCATCTCTTTGTTGATACATATGGTTTTGATCTATAAATCATATTTTTGTTATTTTACCTTGAGATTTGATCCATAGAAATCAATGTATAGAACAGAGTTTACAATGAACTATGATAAAATTAAGTGTTAAATTCACCACAGTGTTATAGCTTTTGCTGAATTGTTAAATAATACACATTACATTCTTTTACAAAGGTAGTAACACAGAAAAAAACAACAAACACCACAAGCAATACAAAATATTATTGGGATTATGATGATTACAGCTAATGCAGCTGGTAAATATTTAAAAAACAGATTATTTTCATAAGGATCTGCTTCATTTATTAATCCAGCTATAAATTCAATTCCACTACCAGTAATTTCGTCATCATTAGCTACCAAAGCCAGAAGAACTGGGTTATTTGTTAATTTAAGTATTGAAGTTTCATTTCCGCATAAAGGTCTATGAATCTCTTCAGTTCTATTGTCATTCAACCAGTACACACCTACGAAATCTTTGTCGCAGTTTTTTGATTTTTGAATATCCATTTTAATGTAAATCCTAATATGCTTTTCGGGTTCTCCAATAAGTTTCCAACAAGTTGTTGTCTTTGGAGAATATCCGCCATTTTTATAGTTATCACTATAGTATTCAGTTGAAAGTGTAGTAGTTAGTTCAAGATCTTTAGTTTTGTTGCAAATTAGCTGACAGTTCATCAGTGGAAGTAGTACGACAAATTCTAAGATAAAAGAATGTAATCTTATAAGATATTCTAAAAAAGTTAGTTTTAATGAAATTATTTAACTTACCAAAGTAGATAGTTAGTCTTGCCATATTTCTCGTATGAAGCAATGCCGTTCAGAAAAAGGCTTACCTTTCCAGGAACTTCTTTGAAATTTTCTATAAAGACTACTAAAAGAAGGATTAATGACTCAATTATGCTCGTGTTTTCAGTTTACACAAATTTTCAGTCATTTTTCTTTCTTGTTATTCAGTTTCTCTCTCAATACACGACTCAAATGCACCGACAATACAGAAAAGCGCATTCGATGCTTTCATTTATTCGTTTCACAAATTTTTTTGTTTTTTTCCTCATGTTTAATTTAGACACATTCCGCTAGCGCCATCTGACGAGAAAAAAGACGAGGAGAGAGAATCATTGCCTAATCTTTATATCATTAATTGTTTTACTATCTGTAAATGTTTGTTGACATTTAAGTTAAAGTATGTGGTTAAATTAACCACAAAACTATTAAAACACTCATTCAAGAATCGTGAAAATAGCTATTTGAAATAATAAGTACTAATCTCTGATTTATTTCCATTTCTTTCTGCGAGATTTTTGAAAGAAACTAAAATAAATGAAATCCAAAGTTTATCAAATACTACTATACCAGCATAGTAAATATTTTAGAAGTTGAGAAAAAATTGATTTTGGGATTTTTTTGGGTCAGGAAACTTTTAATTTGAATATTTTTCAGATAATATACGGCTGAACTGAGGTTTAGGACGCATAAAGTGGAAAGGATCTTGTTAACTGTTAGGTTAGGGTTGGGGTAGAACACTAAAAACTTCTCTCTTTCGTAATTTTTGTTAATTTATATATTTGAACTCTAAGATGATAAACAATAGAAAATGCATATTTTTGTCAGTAAAATAAAGGCATAGAGACTGATAACTTATCTCTGCTTTATCTTTAAATGTTTACTTTTTTTATCATTTTTTTGTCAATTCTCTATCTATTTTCTATTATTATTTTTGTAAAATTTCTTTAATGTCATGGTATAAAGTTCACGAAACTCAGAAAAGATAACCATTTTCAAGGTATAGACATAACTTAATCCTTTTTAAAATTGTTTTAATACAACTTTTTACCGATAGGGGTTTTTTCGTTGCTCATGATTGTTTACATAGTTGTCAATGGAAACAGGATGTTGTACTTTGCACATGTGCAGAACAAACCTTCCGGTAGCAGAAAATATAATTTATAGAATATTGTAATAATGTCTGATAAACAAAGAGAAGATATTCAACTTGCTTTAGCTAATATAATAAAATCTCCCGTTCTAAATGATCAACTATTAAGGAATTTGCCATATCAATATGTTAAAGATATATTAATTTCGGTAAATATTTTTTTGAATATTCAACCAAATATTGTATTTTTTTTTTCCAATTTAGGTTTTGAAGGCAACTGACCTGAAAGATATTCTAACAGATGATGATTTAAAGTTTAAAATTGATGTATGACTGTAGTTTAGGGCCAACAGAAAACGTCGCCAAGCGAGATAATTGAAAACTAATTTTGGATTGAAGAATGATTAGGAGGACCAAAGTAGCTTTTGATTTGTAGTTAGGGAGGAGGGGATTTTCATCTAAAAATTAGGATGAAACAATGCATTTGGAGACGTTTTCTGTCGCATCCTCATAGTTGTTATTCCTAAAAAAAATAAATGATTCTAATAATGTTAATTATGACTATTTAGACTTTCGATCAGAAAATTCAACTTTTAGAAAAGATAATTAAAGCAGTTGGTAAGTTTTTTTATTTATGCTTCTTCTTTTCATGAAAAGGAAACATTTTCTCTTTAAAGGCAAAGAATTACACGAATCAAATTTTGTTGATGCAAATGATATCGTTTCTGGGAAAAATGTCAATAAAACTCTGCAGTTTTTACTTATGTTAACTAGACTTAACAGGATTACAGAAGATGGTAAAATGTTTTATTATTTAAATTGTTATATATTGTAGGAATAGTTGATTTTTCTACTTTTGAAGAGTGGATGCAATAGTCAATTATCCCTATGTCTATCTATCCTCAAAACTTATATTTTTCTTGTTTCTTTCAAATAGAAAAGAGTGAACTAAAATTAGGTTCTGAACAACCTATAGAAGTTGAAATTGGCTCTAACATAGAAAATAAACATATAGTACAAAGAAACAATATGCCATTAAAATTATTGTTCAGTAAAAGTTTAGAGGTTAAAAAAACAATTTTGAATAATTTTTGAATAAAGAAAAACAATTATATTTCATTTATTGTAACTTATAGAATCCCGTATATAAAGTCACTGAAAACAAGAAAACTTTTCAAATTAATTCAATAACATTGGAAGATGTAGACTTCTTAAATGATTACTTTTTTTGTTTAATCTTTCAAATTAAAGGAATAATTAAAGAATTTGATGAAGTAACTATAATTTTTTAAAGAATGGCAGTATTTTAAATGAAATCAATTATATTTTGTCTTTCACAGTTACCATGGATACCCCATTCATCTAAAATTACAAATTGCAAAAATATTACTGATTGGGCAGTATTTTGGACAAGCAAATCAGAAAAACAAACATTTTTGAACAAATCAAAAACATTGAGAGCGGTAGACTTAAAAGAAAAAAAATACAAATATATTCATTTTTCTTCATTTTGTTTTTAGGTTAATACTTTTGCTGGATGTAATTCTTTGAGCACTTGGAATAATGAAAACTCTGCAAAAAGTAGGTTTAAGACACTTAAGAATTCGACTCGGATAGAGTAGTCATATATTTATAATCTCACTTTGTCTCTTTCTCCAGCTCAAATTGCTTCTGACGGATCATATTGGAATGATAAAAAGGCTGTTATAATTCATTTTCACAGCTTATATAAAGATAAAGAACAAAAAGGATCTTATGATAGAATATTCCAGAGAATTAATTTTGAATCTTTAATGATAAATCAAAAAATTGAATATTGTACAAATGTTTTAAATTATTGGAAAGTAAAAAATTGGACATTTTATGATTGTTACGAAGTAAGATACAAGTTTCGTTTATCTTTTCTTCTCTCTCTCTCTGTTATATCAATTTTTATTCACAAATTTAGGATTATGTTCACCTTTTATCTCCGAAACAATCACTTTTTATCATTCCATTCAATTTAACATGCAATGAAGAAAATCTTTCAAAATATTTCATGGATGTAATTATTGGACTTTTGCAAATGGTAAAAACTCGTTTCTTCCTTTACTATGACTATTAAATCCAAATATTTATCTGTTATAGAATTTGTGTCCAAACACTCTACCAGTTGTCATTTTTATTGGATTTGGAACTAAGATAAACGAAATAGCAGCTAAATATGCTCTAATTACAATGATTGAATCATTAATAGAGGATTTTCACGATGCTATAAGAAAAAGATCAAGGTAATTCAATAGATTTAAAAAGGATTATTAAAGCGATAATATAGATTGTTCTAAAAATAGTATTGAAGAACTCTCCAAAATTAAATTCAATGATCAAAATAACATTCACAACTTAGTGGCTTTAACTGAATTGTTAAAAGAATTGAAAGAAAATCTGGAGGATAATAATTCTCATATCATTTCTTTCCTTAATTATGACAATCAAAAGGATCTTAAAGTAAAACTATTTAAATTCCTTTTTTTTTTAAAGATAGAGTTGTATTGTGATCTTTAGGACTTGGTGGAAAATATGAAAATATCATTTCAAAATGTTACTCATAGGAAACAAAAGTTTAAAGTAGTTTTTTTTCTATTCAATTATCTTTTCCTACTTCAAAGATAGTGAAATTTGATTTTTGTTTTCTATAGTATTCTGATGATATCATTGATAAATCTATTGCTAAAATTGAGAAAATACTTGACGAAAAGGAAGACTTTTTAACGGTAACTCAACTTATGAAGGAAATTAATATTGAAGGTAAGTTTTTTTTATATAGTTATTAAAATCTCTCATCTTCTCTTCACAGATCTACTTGCCCTGGACATAGATGATAAAAAAGAAAAATGCTATGCTGAAAAGATATGTCAATTTCCATTTTTCGATGTTTTCCAACTATGTTATACTTTAGTTTGTAGTTTTATTTTTTATATTATTTATCAACGTTTGCTCCATTTTTAAAATCCAGGGACATATAGTACTTTTGAGAAGTTTTGCTTGTGAAGAATGGTTTGTTGCCAATCCAAAATGGTTTACAAACTTGATACAAAAATTGCATAACATCTCTGAAGAGTGTAATGATCGTGTAGAAGATGATTTATTCTTTTTTCGCAAGAAAACAAAAGTGTGTCAGATAGCTGAATGGTATTGTTCAACTTTTAAATTTCAATCAGTAAGTTATAAAGCTTAGAGGTGTAAAAAAAATAAAAAAGCCTCTATTAAAAAATGTATTCATTTAGGACATTTTTGAAGTATTTTTTGGGGCAGAATTGTCATTGACCTTATCATCTACAACATTATTTTTTCCCATTCAATTATCAACTTGTGAAAAAGATATGATGAAATTAATGAAGGTAATTCTTTTTAAAAGTAAAAAGAAGTGATGATCTTTTTTTCTGTAAAAAGGATGATAAATACACTGCTAAAGTTTCGTTAATCTATAATTTGAAAACAACACTTAATGAATGGGTTCATTGGCGAATTATCTATTATTTTCATTTCATTTTCCAGAAAGAAAATATGGATACGACTATCAGTGATCTTTATCACAATTGGATAACACTTCAATATGGACCTGTAGAAGCTTTTATTTGCTTTGATGATGCTGAATGTAAAACCATTAAAGTTTGCTGTAGGGTTTTTGAAAATGATAATTCTCCTATTCTACTTGCAAACATTGCAAAAGAAATTGAAACTATTATTGATTATTCATTGAAAATCTCATCTGTTTATTTCTCAGTAAGCAAGATCTATTATTATAGGCACAATATTAAATCTCTTGGTTCTTTTCTTCTTTTTTGTCTTTTATTAGAAAACTATGAAAACTCCGTGGGGAGATGAACTTGATAAAATGAAAAAAGATGACGACGACAGATACTCGACTTTAAATTTAAAATTTTGTAAGAAAACATATTCCTCTTTAAATTAACCCAATCAATTTTTTCTTGTTATTTTTTTTACAGTTAATAATTTTTATTTAAGCTTTGATCATGAGATACAAAGACATTTTTCGGTTTCATGCTCAAATAAATGTATTCTAAGAAGAGAACATTTTCTATGGAAAATGCATAAAGAGATATATCCAACTTTCAAACGTGAAATGATAGTTAAAGATGACAAAAATGAATTTACTACAATTAAAGAAAGAGATCTTTCAGATAATTCTGCTTTTGACTTTATCATGGATTTAATAAACTTCTATTCAATTACATTAATCAATTGTCAAAATTTAAAATTTGAATTAATGTAAGTAAAAAAAATCTTTAGTTTTTCATAGTTTTTCAAATGTTAGTAATCATAAGCTTTTCTTTTGGTAAAAATAGTGATAGTTTTCGAGGATATTCAATTATGTTCAATTCACAAGAAAACACAGTTAAAAGGATAAGAAAAGATAAGGAGGATAAACTGGTAGACTTTTCTCTAAATGAATATTCCATTGTAACTGTGAAACTATTACCACAACATGGAGAATATAAGTCTTATAATATGGCTTTTTCAGTGAGTTCTGATATATTTCTTTTTTATATTTTTTGAAATATTTTTTGTTTTTTTTTGTTTCAGAGAAAAGAAATTTGTTTAAATATTTATTTAAATGATATTTCAATACTAATGTTGCCACTGGAATCTCAATCAAAAGTTATTTTTAAATTTCATGAAGCAGATAGCAATTTGATATTTGACTTTACATATGCTCCAGTAAATATTTGTAATTATTCTCTTTATCTATTTCGTTATCTCTTTTTCTCTCCTAACCTATCAGAGACAAGAATTCAATTTTTCACATGACTCTATTGATATTGGTCAGAAGTTATTTCATAGTTTTTCTGGAGATATTGCAACTGTTGGTATGTTAAAAATTTAATTTTGGCTAGTGAAGTTGTTTTCTAATTGAAGAATTTGTATCCCTATGCCAGAGGCCATTTTACCAACAGAAAAGTTAATTTTGGTTTCTCGAATCAATAAATCATTATCACAAGATGTTAAATCAATCGAATACATCAAATTGTCATTGAAGAATGTTGAAGAAGTGAAACGCTTTTTTGCACAATACTCTAATGATGATGATAATGATCAACATAAGATATCAGGTAGGGTTCTCTTATCAAGTCTAATAGTTTACTCTACTAATAGTTGTATTTTTCTTAGAAGAGTTTCTTGGTTATTTAAATGCTTACAATTGCCAATCAGTTCCTAATCACTGGATAAAAAGTTTAATGAGTGCAAATAATGAAGATGACATACCTTTACCTGATAGAAAAGGCGTTTGTCTATTTTCCAATCTAAAATTATCCAGTAAAATATTTATTTTACTTTTTTCCTTTCGTATTTATCTGTATGTGTGTGTGTTTTTAAGCCTTTGTTAGGAAAAGCTACGGAATAACACTTTTCGAATCATCGTATCGTGGTTGGCAAAATGGGATTTTTTTCCCTCAAGAGTTGAGAAATGAGTCATTCATTTATTTAAATGAACTCATTCACTTTGATAAAATGACAGCCTATTTAATCTGTACACCTGCATCTACTACACATGATGGTCATAACAACACTCATATAATGAAAAAATCAGCTAAAACTATTTCAAGAGTTACTTTTATGAAGGATCTTGAATTTTATATGATTTTAAAGTTGTCATTATGGTTATATTTCAATAGAAGTGATATAGTTAGTATAAAACATTAAATAAAACAAACTATTTATTGTTCATTCTACACCTAAAAGCTTGTAGACAATATTGAATCAAGTCAGCTTCAATTCTATTTTTCATTTTTGATAAATAAATATCCAGATATTGATATACTGACAACTGACCTCCAAAGTGGAAATATACAAGTTCCATTAAGTGTTCAAACAGTATGAATATTTAATGTCCTTTTTGTTTCTTTTTAATTTACTCTATTAATAAAATATTTTTCACCAGCTTCTTAAAGAATGTGTACAAACTAAATTGGGTACAGTTTCTAATCCAGATTCTGGGCGCTTTTTGTGCTATTTTCACAACAAGAACTTGAAAACTACTAACAAAGAAAGGGATAAGTTTCTAGATTTAATATCAGAAGACAAGATACAAACTGTGGAAAATGATATTCTAAAATTTGATTATTGCCAACAGTAAATTAATTGTTTTTTAAATCCAGATAATAAAAGATTGTTTTTCAGTTTCAAACTTTTAACAAAATGGTATATTACTAATGACGAATATAATATAGACGGAAGAGAAGGAGGAGAAGATGAACTATTTGGAAGAGTAAAAAAACTAAACAGATTAAAGTCTATAGCCCTCAAAAATTGCAATATTTCTACATTTGCGACAAATATTGACAGGCTATCATCCAGTCTCGAAAATTTGCATATAATGAACAGTCCAATTACGACAATCTCTCCTTCAATTGGAAAATGTTCCTTAGTAACAAATTTACATTTAAACGATCTTTTATTGACTGATTTACCAATGGAAATGTCTAATTTATTCCATTTAAAGTTTTTAAACCTGGGTGGAAATTTATTTAAAAGCGTTCCAAGAGTGATTAATCAACTGAATTGTTTGAAATTTTTGCTTTTACCTGCTATTAATTTCAAACCATTTCATTTAAATATCAATCAATCTTCCATAGTAACAATTGATGAATGGAAAAATGTATATACTACACAATATTCCCGACTGAGCCATATCGGATTTGATGAAACAAATATGCTAAAGATTTTTAAAGATGCTGCTACTGCAACCAGTAGTGATACTTTAACAACTACAGATCAAATTGAAGATCTTCACGCAACACTTTATAAGACACTACCAAGAATCTCATCATGGAGTGTTTTAAATAATATTAGTAAACAATCTTACAAGACTCTTACCTTTTTGGATTTAAAATATCAGAGTTTTAAGATTTTGGATGACAGTATTGGGTATTTGGAAAAATTAGAAAGTTTACATTTATCTTTCAATTTACTTCTTGAAGAGATAAGCCCTAAAATTGCTGATCTTCCTTTAAATCAAATACTTTTTTATAATTGTCCATCATTGAGAACACCTCCTAAGGTAATGGCTAGGTCAAGTGCAAAATACATTAAAAACTATATGAGAGCCCTAAGTAAGGGATTTGTGTCATGTAAAAGAACAAAGTTGATGCTAGTTGGCCTTGGCGGCGCTGGAAAAACAAGCCTAGTAAATGCACTAACAGAAAGTAATCAAGAGAAAAGCGAAAAAATAGTGAAAAATACTCAAATTACAGATGGAATTTGCATTAAAAAATGGTTTATTAACTCTATTGAATATTCAATATGGGATTTTGCAGGACAAACAGTCTATTACAACACTCATCAGTTTTTTTTGTCAAATAGAGCTGTTTATTTTTTAGTTTGGAATGTGAGATCTGGAGAAGAGCACGCTGGTCTAGAATTCTGGTTAAATTCTATAAAATGTCATGCTCCTAAAGCTCCAATTTTCATTGTAGGAACTCATATTGACCAGGTGCTCTTAATACAATTACAATAGGCCTATTAATTAAATATGGTTAATATCCAATCTTAGGTTGAAAAAAGTGAACTACCAGTAAAGAAATATCAAAAGAGATATGCACAAATAAAAGGATTTTACTATGTTTCTTCTCTTACTAAATTGGTTGCAAATTTATTTTTTTTACTTTTTCATTTTATAGTTTGACATTTATAAACAAAAAACAAACTTTTAAACTGTACAAACAGGGTTTCAAAGAATTAGTTGATGCTTTATTAGAAATAACTTCAAAAGAAAAATATATGAACGAAAAAATACCAAGTCTTTGGTTAGACTTCGAAGAAGCTCTGTTTAAGTAAGTAAATATAAAAAATAATTAATATACACTTTAACCTTTGACCCTAAAACAGAGAAAGTAAAACTTTAAATATAATTTCAATTGATAAAGCTATGGATAAAGCTTTCCACTGTGGTATAGTTGAAAAAGCTGAGGTTGATATTAAATGTTTTTGCTTTACTTATCTCGTTCATTCATGTTCCTTGTACAGTTTTACCAAGCTGTTGAATTTCTTCATCAGTTGGGATCTGTTCTGTACTTTCAAAATGAATATTTAAGGAAAAAAATTATTATAAATCCTCAATGGATTGTTGATGTAATGGCTTGCATTGTTTCAGTTCATATAAATCCAATTAAAGTTTGTAACTTTTTAAAATTTTTCATATGTAGAAAGGATTTTTTGTTATTTTTTAATAATGTAGAATGGAAAGTTGTTACATGATGACTTGAGTAAAATTTGGCCAGAAGAAACGTACTCTAAAGATCTTCATCAATGGCTTTTACGTTTAACTGAAGAGTTTGATTTGACATTTTGCTTAAAAAATGAAATGGCTAGTTTAGTTCCCTGTCTTCTTCCTGATGTTGAACCAGACGTAATAATTTAATAAAATATTAATTAATAATTGATATATTTTCATTCTGTCATAAAAAATATTACTCAGGATTTTTGGGAAGAAGAACCTTTAAAGGAAAATGAAGTGCAATCTAAGATGATGCTCAATTTTGATTATCTGCCATTTGGTCTTTTTAACAGAGCTCAAGTTAGACTTTATCAGTTTGGCGATGAATCTCTAATCTGGAAATCTGGCTCTTTTTTGAGAAAAAATGGTCACAGGGGTATTTTGAAGAAAACCAGGTAGGGCTTTTTGTTTAATATTATCATTTCTATCATTTACCAATATATATATATATATATAATTGTTAAGCTTATCAAGCATTCTTATGGAAGTTAGAGGATTAAAACCTGAAAATGTACTTTTTCTTGTCCATGAAGTATTTGAAACATTAATTGCAGAGTCATTTGAAGGAGTTCAATTTGATTTTAAAGTACCTTGCCCTGAATGCATTTATCAAAATTTGCCAGATCCTAGTATGGTCAAAGCAGTGAGAATAAGAAGGGCACTACAGTTAAAAATTCCTTTTATGCAATGCACTCGCAATTTCCATACTGTGTCAATAACTCAACTTCAAAGTAAATTTGCCTATACAAAGCTTTTTATAGTAAAATAATGACGTTATCTGTTCACAATTAGATATGTTACCTCCTGAGAGCAGTGAAGAATTAGACATGCATCTACAAAGTGCTGTTACAGAGTTAAAGAAGATACAACCAGGCCCATTAACAAATGTAGTAATGTTATATTGTTTATCTGACGATCCTCCCAGTGAATTAGACAATAACAGCTATGTTTCTGCAACAAAAATAAAAAACGAATTAGAAAAATCAAACTTTTCAATGTAAGGTTTTTCTTTCTATTTATAAAAGTTTAATTTTTAAATTCTTTTTTAGAAAAATGTATAATGATTCTTGTGAAAGTTATTTTGAAGAGGCAATAGCTTCATTAAAATCTACACAAGTGGTACTCACACTAATGACAGATGATTTTGTTAAGAATACTACTTGTAGAAATTTATTCATTTACGTGAAAAAGAATTTAGTAAAGCAAAATCAATTAATTTTAATTAAGAAGAGTGATAAATGGAAAAAGCATACAGATGTTGGAATGTTATGCTCGGATGATGTAAGTAAACAATTTTTTTGGTCCAAAAGAGGTTTAAAGATGGTTGACAATCTTTTTCTTAAAGATCTTTTTTGATATTTTTGATTAATGATTTCAGTTAAAAGTTAGTATATCTTATAAAGTGATTTTTTAAAACCTAAAATATCATTCGATTGGGAAGGTCAACTGTCATTTTAACCTATTTAGAAAATGACTATTATTTCAAAACTTCCTACCTATTTAGTTATACATCAACATGCAAAACATTGAGAACTTCAACTCAAAAATGAATGATTTGAAAAATTCATTAAATATCAATTCGAAATCATCTACTGAATGGCAGCCATGTTTTATAAGTTATTGTTGGAGTAATTCTCAAATGGCTATAAATAGAGGGACAAAATTAAATGAAAAGGCACTTGGTAAAACAGATCCAAGACTATTGAAAGAAAAGCTTGAAGAAGCTGGAATTAAATGTTGGATGGATATTGAACAAGTAAATAGAGGTGGTTTATTTCAAGATATTGCTGAAGGTTTAAAAAAAGCTAAAATTGTTGTGGCCTGTGTATCAGATGAATATGTTTCATCTAAAAATTGCCAGATGGAATTCCGCTTTGCAGCTATTACATTGAGATTACCAATTATTCTTGCTATTGTTGGAACTGGTAAGAATTGGATCAAATCTGAAATTGGAATGATATCTCTACAATATCCAAGAGTTGACCTTCAAGAGAGAGATACTAATGTTGTAGAAATTGTTGACTTTGTCAAAGAAAGGCTTTCTACAGAAAAATTAGACGAAACTATAAAAAGTAACAAGGATACAAATCATGAAGAATTTGCTGAACTTTTAGAATTAGCAGAACGGAAGCTACTAAGACAATTAACTATTTTACAAAACTTATCCAGAGGATCAAATTTTCCACATATTCCAATATTAGATTTCTCTCCAAATTCAGATGAAAATTCCATAATGGAATATTATTTTCTCTTCCTTTGTGAACACGATCAGGTAAGGGTCAGTAAATATTAATTTCAAATATATTATTAAGATTATGCTCAGGGTTGGCATCTGCCCGATAATCACCAAGTTATTAAATGGAATGTTCCATTTAAAAGCGAAGAAGCTGAAAAGCATTTAAGAGAATGGTCTGCTTATTTGGTTAGAATTTATGCCATTCTCCAGTACAGTCACATTCAACTACATGTACTGAGGAGTAAAGAAGGACAAAGTTTTCTTGAGCAGTTGCAAACGACCCTTTCAAAGAAAAGCTTCAGAGATAGCTATGTATCTCTGTTGGAATCAATAGCAAATAAAATGGATCATCAATATAACACTAGTCTGCCAACTAGTTTAGCCAAGTGTCAGATATACAATGGAAAAATTCTATGGTTGTGCAACTATCACCAAAAACAACCAAGAGTAACAATCCTTCAGTCAGATGAAACAAATTTTACTAAGGATTCTAAGACAAATAAGGAAGAAGTACTACTTGAAAAAATTAAAGGACAGAATGAGCATGGAATTGTAAAGGAAGAAACTTCTCAATATTTAGAAAATAAAGTTTTAAATAAAGAGGAAAAGAAAGAAGAAAAATTGATTAAAGATGATACAGACAATTCAAATAAAACGGCAGCAAAAAGTCAAGAAGAAAAGGAAAAAAAGAAAGTTATCAATGACCTAATTAGTAATGGAGGTAGAGCTAAGAGTATAGCTTGTGTAATCTGTTAAAACATAGCAAACTATATCAGATGTATACCATTTAATACATATGTTATTATTATAGAAAATGTAATTAAAAGTGAATGAAAAAAAGAGCCAAATACAATAAATATATTTAAAAGGGAGTCAATATAAGTGAAAATAAGGAAGTAGTGTGTTCCTCGTACTTAAATTCAAATCACGTGACATACAATCAAAATGTTTATATTTTGCAATTAAGATGGCAGGAGACTGTTTAAAAAATTTCCAGCTTTCCATATGATTTCTGGTTGTTTGATGCCTTCAATATCAAATAACAAATTTTCTCTTGGGAGGTTTAGGCCTATCCTCTCTTTCCCATTACCTTGATCCTAAATTGGAGGAAACAATTCATGTAATTCTTAAATAAACTGAAAAATACAGACGTAATAAAGAAAGGAATGTGTGCTTATATCTATTAATGATAAATTCAAATCTTGCATAATATCAAGACCTCTAAAAATGGTTAAGCTTGTCCTAAACAACTCAAGATTGTTTTCTGGACAGAATTTTTTAGCTTTTATATAATTTTGAAAATAGATAACAAAAATATCAAACATTAAACCAAATTCATAACATTTTTTATAAAGTTGAACAACTGAAATTGAAGAAAGTGTGGAATAAAAATTGTAATAACAGGTTAAAAAAGATGGACAAAATGGGACATGAACTTTAACCTTTCATGTACATTTTCCATAAATAGAGACATTATCAAATAATACATACTTTTAAATTTATAATTTTTCATTACATCATCTTTAATTGCTTTACTGAAAGGAAGAATGAGGTAAATTTTAAATTAAAAAAAAAATTGGAAGAAGAGATTCTCTTCTGACATGGCACTTAATATTTACTTGTATTTTGTCTTATTTGTTATCCATATGTAATTAATGTTAATTTGAGAATAAACAAAAGGATTTACAACAGAGTTTATTGACAAAGATAAAATGAATGCCCAAATGTAGGTGCTGTGTGTTAAAATACTCTTTTCAAAACATGCCATAAAACCTAGAAGTAATTTTTTTAAATCCTTAAAAATCATGAAAAAACAAATTTCATTTTTTAATAAACTAACTGAAATAGGATAATGGCATCCATGTGAAAATATTTGACAAGACAATAATTGTTCCCATCTTGAAAACTCTTCGGAATCTTTTACTCTTTTCAATTGGTGACAGTATAAAGCTCTGCTTCATAATGAAATAAAGAATTCGACAGTATAAAATTAATATTGTTACGCAATTTATCGAAGTGAAAATCGTAAAAACGAAAACTGAATATAGCCATCCTTCCGGTTTTTCATTTGTTAAATGCAATGAAAAGCATACTTGATATCTTGAATAGTAGGCCTGAAAAGGGAAGAGAGATCGATTAAACAGCAAGTTAACTAGCATTCATTTATATAAAAAAAACAATGCATTTTCAAAATACATACATTAAACAGCCAATATGGCAAAAACGATATAAATAAAGATGATAATGTAAAGATAGATATGATTATTAATGATTTTGAAAGTGTTGTATCAACAAATTTTAAGCCATTTTTAACCATAGAAAACTTTTGGCATGTTATTAATAAAATACTAAATTGTGATAGAATTGATGAGAAACTAGCCAATAGTCCAGCAGTTGTGCATAATCTACCAGTTTGCCAATTCTCTGCCTCTTCAATGTATCTACTAGAAACCAGTCTATCTTGAACTCCTATTATCAGAAAATAGATACTAAACAGCAACTCCGAGAAGTAGAGTAGTATTTGATATCTATGAATGCTTTTCTTTATCTTATTCAGTGATGTTGCCAAGCAAAAACTATTCAAAATGAAACTGATTAATGAAAAACTGTTGGCAAAAACTGAAAAAATTGCAACACTTTGAAATATGTTAAAGGTTATAATTTTTTTAACCAAACTTTTGACCTACTTTTCAAAAAATTTGAATTAATCATCTCTCCGCATGAATGCGTATCCATTATCTTTGGTATGCATTCTTCTATATGGAAATTCTTAATAAAACAACAATACTTGTACTTGTCACTTATTAGTCTTTTTATTGATTTTAAATTTTTAAACACTTTTTCAACAGGTTCCCTAAATTTGAATTTTACATTTTTCATATGCATTTCTTGTAAATTCTTCAAATTATCAAAACATTGCTCGCATATTTCAAATATATTTGAATTTGAAATATTTAAATACTTCAATTTGATTGAATTTTTAAACAAATCAGAAGAGATTTTTTGAAAATGATAAAATTTTAATGTCAATCTTAAAAGTGATTTTTTAAAGACATTAATACCAATTTCTGTTAATCTACTCTCAATTAGAACAATATTTTGAATTAAATTTAAAAATTTAAAAGTATCCGAATGTATAAAGGAAATAGAATTTTTTGTAAAATTTAAAGCAACAATGTTATAAAAATTTCTGACAAACTTGATATTTTTTAAATTTCCATTAAAAACAACTAATTTTATTAATTCAAAATTATTGATATTTGTTAATAAATTAACAGTTGGAAATGCTTGAAAATTTGAAAATTCAATTATTTTCCATGTATTTGTTAGATTGCTTGAAATATTCATTGCTTTCCAACAAGAGATTTTTATAAATTGATTGCACAAACAATTCATTGGGCAATCAACGTTATCAAGATTTTTATCTTCATTATCATGAAGTGGACAAGTTTTTTCGTTGTTTGTCAGAAATACATTATGGAATCTACATTTGAATAAATCTTTTGCAATTATAATTTCTATTTTTAAAAATTCAAAAGATATCTTTATTAAATAAAATTTCAAAAGAAAAGTATTTTTTATAAACTTTTATCACAATTCTCTTCATCTTCGCCAAAAATACATTGCGCAATACCATCACATACTAATTCTTTTAAAATACAATATCCTAGTTCGCTTAAATGCTGTGGAGTATAGAAATGTATTGAATTCTATTCAAAGACTTATCATTTACATTTGTTCTACAAAGGAAGTCTTTGATTGAGTTACATTCTTGTTGGCATAAAGAAATCATATGCCCGTAAAGTGAATTACCTTCTTTCAGATTGAAGAATGTATAGGAAATAGAACATACTGGTAGAAAGGAAAATGAATTTATAGGCTTAATTCACAATAGAATACTCTATTCATTTACAATTATTTTCCTCAATTGATGAGATCATTGAATCTGTACAATGTTTAAAATTAAGTAATGATGATAATATAGATTATAAATAATGATAAAATTGGATATTTAAAACTTGTTACAGCTTTCTCTGTTAAACAAAATTCTAAAATTGTTTTGGTATGAAAACATTTCAATTTTTAAAATTTTTCAAATAATTTCAATTCGCAACAAATGATATTATCATCAATAAAAATTTTCATTAAATCTAACATTTCATTATCTATCAGAAATCCTTTCCAATTTGCATTTGCAATAAACGCTTGGCGAAAGTCTATATCTTTTAATAGGCCTAGATAGATAGATATTTCAAATGATCAATTTCTCTAATCCTATTAAAACTTATAGTTAACAATATCAAATTATTCATATTTCGAAATTGGTTGAAATTGATATAAGATAAGGAATTCTCCGATAAATGAAGATATCTTAAATCTTTTAGATACTTTAAAGAATTTTCTTTGATTTCTCTTAGAAAATTTCTTCTTAAATCTAAACTTTGTAAATTAATTGGAAATAAGAAATCTAATGAAAATCTCTTATCAAATTTGTCATATTCAAAATTGTTATCATTCATTTTCAATTCAATTAGATTAACAAACAATTCTAGATATACATTTTGAAATTTACTATCAATTTTTCCACTTTGAACAATTAGACTGGTTACAGAATAGAATTTCTGTTCACATTTTGAAATTGTCAACTCAGTTAAGTGTAATAAAAACACGGATTTAAAAACTTTTAGTTTCATTAACTCATCGGATGAAAAAGTAGATTTTTGACAATGAATTTTGTGGGAGAAGAGACAATTACAGTTTTGTATACAGCTGGTATTTTCACAATATAATTCATCTATTCCGTTTCGACAATCATAAATACCATTGCAAACTTTCAGCAGGCTGATAAATGATATCCTTGATTTGCAAGAAAAGAATCCTTTAGGTTTAAATTTATCTGTTGGTGAATTCAAATAGGAGTTATTTTTAGTATAAGTAATTCATATTTTCTTCATATAGGACTTTTCACAGGTCATAAGGAGGAAGGGAAAAGAAAGGAAAGTAATAGGAAACGGTGTTAATATATTTAAATTTAACAAATAATCATTCCCTTCCGTCCCTATGTCTGTTTCTTACAGCAATTCACTTCATCATCGCCCAATGGACAATGTTTTACTTCATCGCAAATCAGCTTGATATCAACGCAATATTGATATCTTTTACAACTGTATTGTCCCAATGTACACTTCTTTCTAATGTTACAATTGATATATTCTTCGCCACTCTTTAAAGGATAAAATACCAATGTTTCAACACTGTCATATTTTATCTCACATGTTTCGCTGTAAAATTGTTTGTCTAAATATGATTTATAGACAGGAAAGGATTAAACCTATATTTCTGGCTAAAATCTCCAATGTTCATATCAATCTGAAAAAGCTTATAATCGCTAAAAGTTTCATTTCTGCAAACTTCTCTACTCTCATCACTGAAATCGATGCAATTTCTCTCACTATTGCAATATTTATCTGCCATGATGCATTGATGATTTTTGCATTGTCTACAAGCAATATATTATATTCGCTGCTCAATTTCCAATGTTTAAACTCTTTAATTTCCAAGTCAACTTTTACCTTTGACCTTTACTTTCAATACAATTTTCAAAGTCTACAAAAATAATTTGGATTACAATTTATTTGGTCTCGAAATAATTTATTCGAAAAGTAGAGGATGTTGATAAATTACAGCAAAATTGTTCATCGGAGTAATCATTGCAGTCATTCACAAAATCACAAACAAATGTGGAAGAGATGATTAGGGAATTCTTACAGGTGAAATAATTGATATTCGAACAATTCGTTTCATCTGAATTATCTTCGCAATCATCAATTCCGTTACACAAATATCTGCTATTGATACAGATTGATAGAAATCTACAAAAGAAACCATTCCGACTGTTATATTCCATTTCAATATCTAAATTGGCATTGGGTTCAATTATTCGAAAACTGTCTCCTAAGAAGAGATTTTAAAGTAAAAAATGTAGTTTATAGAATGTTTTTCTTCTATTGTTAAACACGAACTGGCATGTAAAACTTTTTCACAGATAATACCGCTCTTACCCAAAAGATGTGTGCAAATGTTGAACTTATAATAAAGCTCTGAGTTATCATTCCTTGTAACCTCCATACAAATGTATCCGTCATTCGTTGAATAAAAAAATTTCCTTTTTCATATGAAGCATATAAAGTTTCTTATTTAATTAAAAGTCATATCAATTAGCTTACATATTTTGAAAATTCATAAGTACAATAAGAAAATTATTGACTGATAAAATTTGGAATTTTTGGGCTATATTCTTTTCCAGTTTATAAACTATACAACAAAAAAATCAATATATAAATATTTTCGTTTTTTAGTCATTAAAATGTAATTTTGCAAAAAGATGCCTGAATTGTGAATCTGTTCATTTTTAAAATAGAATATAGGATCGAAATTGAAGACAATATTGATATCATTAATGGTTTTAAGAGCAAAAATTTCCAAATTTCTTTGCCGACAAAATTCTATTGTTTTATTCAAGTTGTATAAAAATTGAAATGAAAAGGAATAATAGCAAATTGAATTGAATGATATTTCTTTTGCTGAATCTTGAACTTGAGGGCAATCTGTTTGAGGGAAAGAGTATGATTGGAATCGGTAGGGAAGTGAGAAAATATTATCTACCTAACGTCTCTTCACTCAGACATATTAAATTAACACTTATGACGTAAGGACTAAATAAGTTAAAATCACTCGTCTTTTTTGGAGAACAATCTGCGAGCGTTTTTATTCCAGCACCAAGACAATTAACTAATAATAGAACTTTCCTAATTTTTTCAACTTTTTCAAATTCATTCAAAATCTCTCCGTTTCCGTAACCGAATTGTTTACAAAAAAGCTAATGTTTTTCTTTGCATTAGAACAACAAAAAATCCCATTAATTAATTAGTTTAATTACATTGGCATTCAATTTTGAAAACTTTTCACTAGAAACTAACCACCATTGATTTTGTTGAAAAATTTCCAAAACGCCACAAATAGTATCAAAATCATTAGAATTTTCAGATGTTTTATCAGAATTTCGTATTCTAAATTGAAAAGCTAAAAAGTGTTTTTAAAGAGACAAACAATTTGAAAAGATTGATTCAAAATTATTAAATACAATTTGTTTTGAATTCTTTATATAATTCACCAAATTTATCAGCGAAATTCACTTTTATTAACCGTTTTTTATCAATATTCACAATTTCATCTCTACATTTAATGAAATAAATCAACGATCTCTTATCATGTCTTTTATAGCATTTTCTTTTATCTATCCTTTCCGGATATCTTTCAATTTGAAAGAGTTTACTATTCTCATAAAAACTATAATCGTATTCGTTATCTGGAATTTTATTGAATCGTTCACAAGTTGAAATGTAGAAGGAATTAAAACTTCGTCCTAGATTTTATTGAATATTTGAATAAGAAAGAAAAGTACTGTCTTTCAATTCTTTCTTTTTATAAGGTAAAAACATATTTCCAAATTTAAAACAAAGAATTTCCTTATCATTGAATTTTTCCAGAGAATTAAAGAAAAAATATGATAATGGTAATAATCTCTTTTCATTAATTTCAATTATGCTATAACAATCAATTAGACAATTCATCCACAACTCTTTTCTTCTTATCTCAATATCTATATCTTTTGATAGGAATGCAATATAGTCTTTATTGCTAGGTAGAGGGTTTTCGTAATGTTTCTTATTTAAAGAATAGACATTTCGACATAGAAATATCATTTTCTCATTGTAATTTTTGCTTTTATTTACGCAAACTCTGTAAGATTTTTGAAAAATTCTTGCATAAACTTCACGCTTTTCTATAGTCTGAGAGTAGAAATCTAAATGAGATAACCTTCCATTATTTTCTTAATTTAACATTAATTTATTATCTATTTTTTCATGTTTTTTTTTTTACATGTTTGATTTATTTTCATGCATAAGACGGTCATTGGTGAATCTCCATCTATTGAATAAACGTATTGACAATCATCCTTTTTACATTTAAATGACAAATGACAATTGGTATTAATGGACATTTTGGCTTAAATTGATCAATTTTTATTTCTTTGTTATAGTTTTCCACGAATATGTTGACACTACTCACGTAGTAGAAAAACGCTAAACAACGAATCGTAACCCATTCGATTGCATAAGTGTTTACCGTGAAAATATGTTTGTATTTTGCTTTGTGTATCGAAACAAATGTTCTTTTCCAATATTTGAATAAATCCATAACAAAATTCACGATTGCATTTATGCTTTTCAGGGTGGAAATTCATTATCCAACTTTTCTGAGGATTTAATATTATCCTTCCTTTCTCTGTATATTTATTGAATATTTTCTTTCTCTTTGAACATCCTCTCCTTCTATAAAAGGCTGTAGCACTTTCATTTAATATTAGTAGAAGAAAAATTCCAAAAAAACACTTATGATGGATCATTTTAACGATATCTAAAAATTTAATGAAGAATTTATGTTTTCTTTTTTATGTTTTTTAATTTTAAATATTTAATTAAATTCCATCGTTCTATTCAATTCCATTGTTCAAAAACTACATAATTAGATTTTGTATAGAATAACTCCTCTCTCTCTCTCTCTCTCTCTTTCTATTATTAAAGATAATTCAATTAGGCCTAGATTCATTATTCCTTTTTTTTCCCAAGAAAATCAATACCTTTTAATTATGTTAAAAAATTTAAACAAGATTTATGAACACCGTAACACAATCGCAACATATAAAGATAATTTTACTGCTTATATTTGTCTTTTAAATCGCCCGCAAAATTATGTAACTAATTCGACGAAATGCATTGAGAAACACTAAATTTATAGACAAATCAAAGTTAGTTAATTAGAGTAAAATATAGGTTATCAGCTATTATTTAAAGCAATCGATTAACCCATTCTACTACACAGTTGGTCAAGTTAATGTTGAATAGTCATGCCAAAAGGTTCAGTGCTTCTGCCTGACAGAATTGTTCTTTCAGTTGGTTTCTTATAAAAGATGGGTGTCTTTAAAAAAAAAAATCAAGTTCAATACTCAAAAATGAATCATTCACCTTTATTGATTGAAAATTTTGGCCATTATTATTTTATAGGCGTGGTATTGATTCTTCTCAATGCTTTAGAAATTTATCGATGACTCATTAATGTAGGAAAAAGTTATATACTTTTTACCATATTTTAGGGTGACTTCAATATTTCGTTTTACTAATGATGAACCCATCTTTATTCCCCGAAAGTTTTTACAAAGTAATCTAAAAGTTTCAAAATTTTAACCGAATATTGAAAATCGACACATTTCGTGAAAATCTGTTACATTGAAAATCAAATAGCTTAGTATTAATTCTTTTTCGATGAACAAACAAGTCAATCGTCGCCTTTCAAAAGATTTTGTCTGTTGGACAGCTGACAGATGGTAGACTTTTTATCTGTTTTAAAGAAATTATAGAATATTTTTAGAGAATATTTAGTTAAAGTATGCCAAGGTCTGAACTTTCGGATAGGCTTACATACGAGCAATACCGAATGACGTCACATTACTTTAATGGTAAGTAGCCATAAACTTGTAGTCAATACTAATTCTACGTAATATGGCCTAAACATGCGTTTCATGCGACAGACTGCTTATATTTGAAGCAGCCATAAATCTTGCCGCATTTCTGCTTTGTACTGAGTTCACTACACAGATATTCTTTTTGAATTTTTTTATCTTCCTGTTAAAATGTCGAAAGTTGCTATTATTACGGGAATAAGTGGACAAGATGGTTCTTACCTAGCTGAACTGCTTCTGGAAAAGGGCTACGAGGTATTTACAATTGCTAATCACAAACAACGAAGAGACTAGTTTTCTTCTTAATTTACACAGATTCATGGCATCATACGTCGTTCTAGTTCATTTAATACTGGCAGAATAACTCATTTGTACCAAGATCCTAAAATCCACCAGGAAGGGAGTAAGTATCTTCCGATAGATATAACATTTGATTCTTTATCATTCTTTTTATTATCTCAAAAAGAAATGAAGTTGCATTATGGTGACTTAACTGATACTTCTTGCTTGATGAGATTAATTAATGAAATTCAGCCAGACGAAATCTACAATCTTGGCGCTCAAAGTCATGTTAAGGTATCGTTTGATGTAGCCGAATACACATCAGATGTTGACGGTATGGGTGTACTACGTGTTTTTGAAGCAATTAGAGCTTGTAAATTAAGTCATAAAGTTAAACTTTATCAAGCGTCTTCTAGTGAATTATACGGAAAAGTTAGAGAAATTCCACAAAATGAAGAAACACCATTCTATCCAAGGTCTCCATACGGAATTGCAAAGCAATTTGCGTTTTGGACAGTCATAAATAACAGAGAAGCTTACGGAATTTTTGCTTCGAATGGTATATTATTTAATCACGAATCACCCAGAAGAGGTGAAACATTCGTTACGAGAAAAATAACAAGGGCAGTATCGAAAATTCACTTGGGGTTGATGGAGTCATTTTCGTTAGGCAATTTAAACGCAAAACGTGATTGGGGTCATGCAAAGGATTACGTTGAGGCTATGTGGCTGATGTTACAACAAGAAAAGAGCGACGACTATGTTATTGCGACAGGAAAAGTTTATAGCGTTAGAGAATTTGTTGAAGCAGCATTTAAATATCTTGGAAAATCCATTGAGTCAGTAGTTTTCATCTAGAAGCTAGCTTTCTTATAACTTTTTCCTATTTTAGGTGGTCAGGTGAAGGCACTGATGAGGTTGGAATAGAAAAGGAAACTGGTATTATAAGAGTTCGCGTAGATCCAAAATATTATAGACCAACTGAAGTTGAATTTCTTCAAGGCGATTCAACAAAAGCAAGAAAACAATTGAATTGGAAACCAAAATTCGATTTTCAAGTAAGCCTCGAAATAGAGAAAAAAATAATTTTCTATATACCATTAATAACTTAGGGTCTGGTGGAAGATATGATGAAAAGTGATCTGAAACTCATGAAAGACAATCCTGCAGCTTAAAGCCTAGTTCAACTTTACTATTTCTTCTAAACAATCTTTATACAATTTACAAAATTCTTCTATAAATTATTTCCACTTGGAACAGAATATACATACGATTGTCTATGTATATTGCTTATCCTCAACATTTAGGCGTCTACTCTAGGCTTTAGTTTTTTGTCAATAGTGTGTACTCTTCAGTTTGTACTCTTTCAGATTAAAATTTATCGATTCAATACAAATTGTTTTTATGAAATTCTGGGGTTTATAAGCAAAAGCAATTCTTTCGAAAAGGAAGTAGCGGAATGAGATAAATTTCTCAGCAAACCACTATTTCCCCTGGAAAACACGGCCCGGTAGGTTTAACTTAAGAGTAAGAGTTTTTGGAAAATTTTCATTTTAATCTTTTTCATTTGGTGTAGGGCTGAACAGAGGGTTAGCAAGAAAGAAGCAGGATAACTGAAGGGTTTGGGTTAGGGTTAAACAGCAAGAACTGGACCATTTTCTCCTAGACTCTGTAAATGATACCAAAGCAAACACAAAATTACTGTTCAAATGTCGCCATCTGTACACTTACATATAATGATATATCAATATTTAGACTTTATATATATAGGTACATTAGAAAGACTTCTATTTCGTAGGAATTACAATGACGGAACTTTAGAAAGACTTTTATTTCGTAGAGTTAGCTTTTAGCACTTTAGAAAGAACTCTATTTCGTAGGAAAAAGACTCTTTGACCATAACAGATAGTGACTATTGGGGAATTTGTTAATTCAAATTCAGGAACAGAGAACATAGAAAAGATACATGTCA